TTTCCCAGAGGAAACCATCACTGTGAGCATCAATCACTGCCCCAGGCTACACCTGGGCGGGACCCTGAGGAATGCACAGCTGCAGACGTGACCACAGTCACTTACTCTGGGCTCCCTCTGCTCTGCTTCCTTTTCTGCCTCATTGCTGAAGGCCTCTGGCTGCTGTCAGTGTATCGGTCTGTACCTTGCACCCTCCCTCCCAGACTGCTGTGTCCTGGGGAGGCAGCTTATCAAACTCTTAGAAGTGGCATGAGGGTGAACTTTAAGGGAAACCTAAAAAGATTCTAAATACATACATGTGTCCTTTCTGATGGTGTTTTGGGCAGCAGAAGTAGCTAAATAAAAAGTCCTGGGTATTGTGTCATGATTGGCAATGTAGGTGTACAGGCAAGAAAACCAGCCAGAGCACCCACCTTTGACACTAACTAGTAGTGCTCGGTCATTCCCTACCCAAGATATGAACATCTATTACCTGCCAGGCACTGCTTTAGCTGCTGAGGACCCAGCAGGGAACAGGACAGACAGGGAGCTGCAGTCCTGGTCAGGGAGAAGGCGAACACACATGACAACTGTGGTGTGGCCACTGCTCTGAAGTTGGCAAATGGGGGAAGGGAGTGGAGGGAGGTGGCACTTCAGGTGGCCATGTTGGGATGTGCTCTTAGAGGAGGGTCCCTTGGGCCAAGACCCAGAAGATAAGCTAAGGCCAGGCCGACAGAGATGGCACCTTCCAGGCTGAAGAAAGATCAAGCATGAGACCCCTGAGGTGGGAACAGGACCGACATTCACAGAATAAACAATCAGGCATCGGTGGGGAAGTGGAGCCAGCAGAGTTTGGGGACTGTGACAGCATGAGTGGCAGGAGGTGTGGCTAGGGAAGCAGTTACACACAGGGCCAAGGAGAAGTCTAAACTTTATTCCAAATCCCAGAAGTCTGGGAAGGATCCAATCCGCTGTGTTCTGGAAAGGGGGCTCTGAGGGCTGCTGGATAGGATGGATGGCGTGGGAGGGTGAAGTGGGGTGCTGGAGAGACAGGGATCGAGGCCGACTTCTAGATCTAAGCAGCAGGGCTCACAGCAGGGCTATTTGCTGAGAAGAGGAAGGCTGATTTCAAACAATCAAGAACATCAGAGAATCCAAGGTCAGGGCTGAAGAAGTGGCGGAAGCCTTGGGAACAGATGAGATGACCCAGGAAGGGAGTGTACACAGATAAGGGCCCAGGCCTGGGCAGGCTGAACCAGGGAGAGGTTGGGGAGGGGAACTGGAGGAGAGAAGAGAGGACACAGGATCCCCAAGAACAGAGCGTGCCAGGGAGTGCTCGGATGTGTGGAAGGCTGCTCAGAGGGTAAGATGAGGCAGAGGGATCTGGCACCTGCACTCAGCAGGACAGAGAGAATGGGAGCTAGACAAGAGAAGTCTGGGAGCAGGAATACGAACAATTTAATGCTCTGGGTCGGCTTCCTTGTAAAAGGTATCTGAACAGTTGATCTTAGCCATTTCTTGCAATGCACTTTGTACCACATGCTTTTAGACTGGGAAAAAAAATGCTTGGAATAAAAAAGGGGGGTGGATGATAAAGGATAAGAAAAAACTATAATATAGGAAGCCATGCTGTTTGGGAGTTAAACAAGTTGTGTGGTCGTTAATACTCTTTTACATGAAAATTATTAAGGATGTTTATATAAATTATTAAATAAGGAAAACGATTAAAATAGAACTGCTAGTGGCCATTCAGAATTCTTAGCGCACCCAAACTATGTAAGCTACTCCATTAAAATAGAAACAAGGGACTCTCCCTAGTTTACCAGCTAGTAAAATTCCTTAACAATTATGTCTAGACCCAATGCCCACTCACACAGCTGAGTGGCACCTAGGGGACTGTTGTGAAAGCCCCCTCTCACCCTCCCAGTCACTCTTCTGGAAGTCAGAAAAGAAAGTTCCATGATATCAGAAATTTGCATATCGAGTTCATGAAACTTTATGAGATTCCATGAAATGTTTATTTCTCTGTAACTATCATCTTAGCCAAAGAGAAGCTTGCCTTAATGTGATGTTTAAAATAAATATTTCAGCACCACAAAAAAGTAGAAAGGAGGCAATGAAGGGCACCCCTGGACCCCACTCACCTTGATAAAGCATAACCAATGCAGGTGAGCCTGCACAGAGTGTCTCAAATTGCATCATCTCCCAAGAATACTGCATATCTTAAATTTTCACCCAAGGTTAAGTGTTGAAAAATCACCCACAACCCTGTTTTGTCAAGGACACTCCACATGTGTTTCCTGATTGCCTATTGACTGTTCTTTCAAAGCGAGTGAGGCTGGAGATTGTCATGCTATTTGTGGACTTTCTTTAATTGGTTGAGATTAACCTGGCACCGGTGTGGAGACAGGCTCAGAGGTGACTTGATAGGAAGGCTACACTGTGTGTCTGGGATGTGACGGTTCTGTACAAGGGTTCTGGTTGTGGGCCCTCTCACTTTGGCTTATCTTGCCTTAAGAATCCAACCAAGGCCCAGTGCAGTGGTACATTCCTGTAATCCCAGCTTTCAGGAGGATCACAAGTTCAAGGTCAGCAGGAACAAGCCATTGAGACCCTGTCTCAAAATGAAAAGCATGGGGATGTAGCCCAGAGAACTTGCCTAGCATGTGTGAGGCCATTGGTTCAGCACTGGAAAAATTAAAATAAAAAGGTACCAAGAGCCCTCCTTTGCCAGGCTCATAAGGCAGATGTATGCTTGCACTCCTGAAATGGGGAGTCAGTCCAGTAAGCACGATTCCTGGTCCAGGACTCCCACGCTTCCTTCTGAGGTATTATCATATAAACAAATACAGGGAACATATCATATATTCCAAACACAGGGAACAGCTTCACAAATGGTGGGAAGAGAGGCAAGATAAGTAATGCATCAGGGTCTTGTCACGTTCCAAGTCCGTGGTTCTCAAAATTTGGTGCACCTGAGAATCACCTGGGTAGCTTGTTAAAGGCAGATTCCAGGGGCAACCTGGGTCTCCCTGAATTCCTAGGGAGGGCTCCAGAGAGGACCTGATACATGCCTAAGCTTCAGAGCCATTGTCCTAAGCAAGTGTCAAAAATTGCCTTGGAAATCAGACTTCTGCAAGTGCTGGGGGAGGGAGGGCTCAGGTTCTAAAGGCATTTGAAAATAAGTTACCCCTGAAAAATCCCCCCAATTTCTCAGAAGATAGAGTACAAATGGCTTTATTTGGTGGGGGCCCCTTTACAGTAAATGTAAGTTTAACAATATAATGCTTACACATTGAGACATATGAGGAATGAGGAATGCATATATAAAACAGAGCTTTATGCTAGCCTAACTGTACGAGGAAGAGAATACCTAAAAGTTGAATGTAAGTTAAAAGCTTGTATGATATGACTCTGTGTCACGAGAATACTATGAAATAGTCATTTTACAGATGAAGAGTTGGAAGCTCAATTGTGTGGCTTAACCAGAGCGACCAGCCAGGAAGCACTGGAACCAGAATTCAGCCTTAGCTCTGTTTGCTTCTAAACCCTGTCATCTTTACCACATTGCCACAGGCCATTTTTCAGTATTCCTCTGAAGGGTAAAGTTCAGAAATGTTCCAGAAGGTCTAGGGCCACTGCTATTTCAAATATTCACTTAATAAGACAATATATCATAAACTGAGTAAGATAAAAATTACATTACAAGCTTGTCCTAGCAGCAGAGCTGGGGTCCCAAACTGCTACCAAAACTCCAAGTGGTGATAAGGTGCTGCAGACACGGTGTTTTAGGAGGAATATGTACAATGTTGGCATTGTAGCTGATTAAATATCTTCCATAGTTTCCTTCTACCCCAGTTGCCATTATATCTTCTTTTTTTTAGTTGTAGATGGACATAATACCTTTACTTTATTTATTTATTTTTACGTGGTGCTGAGGATCTAACCCAGTGCCTCACATTCATTAGGCAAGTGTTCTACCACTGAGCTACAACTCCAGCCTATATCTACCTTTTAATAGAAGAAATTTTGTCTTTGAGAGGGAAATGACTTTTCTGATTAAGAGGACAAAACCTCAGAAAAGTCCTCCTTCCTCGACAGACCTCTGAAATGCCTGGGCCTACAGTGGGGAGGTCACAGGAGCTGGCAGGGATGCCCCAGCAGCCAAGTGCACCATGGTGGGTTGGGCATGACCATTCACCCAGCGCTGTGCTAAACACTCCACATGCACAATCTCATTTAATCCTAAATCTATATAGGAGGGGCTACTAGTGTCTCTTACCCTACATAGGGGGAAACTGAGTCAGAGAGTTTGGAACTTTACCCCAAATCTTTGGTTACTCCTTGTATCAGGACAGAGTGTTTACAGTACTGTTCTAGGCATTTTAATGCATTAACACCTCTAATCGTCATTACAATCCCATGAAATAGGAGTCATAATTAATGCAGTTTCACAGATATGAAAACAAAAGCGCTAAGGGATTCAGTAAACCCACCCGGCTCCCATAGGGAGTTAGTGGTGAGCATAGGGAAGGAATTCAGGGGGGAGTTCCGGTCTCAACCTTGTCCACATCACCGTCACCTGGGGGCCTTGCTGATACTCAGATTGCTGGACCCCAGCCCTAGAGTTTTGGAAACCCTTGTTGGGGTGGCACCTGTCGTTTCTGCGGCTGCAAGTTCGCAGGGGATGCTGGGACAGCAACATGCTAGTTGCAGAACCAGACTGCGAGAGCCAACGCTCTAGAGGGAGCTCTCTAACTCACTGCACAAGTTCTACTGGTCACCGAGTTCATGTGTTTTAAAAACTCCTCCTAAGAGCTAGTAAGAAGAAAAAAAAAATCTGGAATTTCAGAGATTCCCACGTAACTTTTTGCAAGTCGAGTCAAACAATGCAACACATTAGTCCTTTAACCTAACCAAGCGTTGGTGGAGCGTCTTCTACGCCCGTCTTTCTCGGATGAAGGCGGAGGCGGCACAGACCACGTGCACGGAGCCACCGCGACCAGGTACGGCCACCCAGACCCGGGTCCCGGCCCAAGGACGTCGGGGCAGCCCCACCCCAAACGGCCGGGCAACCACCCCGGGCGCCCGCCCAGCCAGATTTATGTACATTTCTTGATGTCCCTGTGTCCAGTGCGGAACAGTGTTGCACCTTACGTCTCTTGCCGGAGTAGAACCTACTGCACACAAACCCCCCACCCGGGCAGCGCCGAGGCAAAGGTCCGCCAGAACCAGGGGCGCGGGGCCGCGGCCATCTTGAGCGGGGCGCACCTCGCAGGTCGCGCGGGCGGGGCGGGAAGGGGCGCGGCCCCGGGACCCCGCCCCGCGAGGGCCTCTCGGGCGCGCGGGCGGCGGGCGCACTCGCGGTCGCACGGACAGCAGGAGCGCACGGACAGCAGCAGCGCACGTCCACTGCAGGCGCCGCGGGTGAGCCGGGCGCGCGGGGGGGCGAGGGTCGGGCGGGCTCGCGTGCGCGCTCCGCGGAGGGGACCGTGGCCGGGACTCGACGGCAGGTGCGGCGGGGACTGTCCGGCGGAAGGACAGCCAGCACGGGAGCCCGGGCGGACGACCTCGAGGGGCGCCCAGCGAGGCCCCACTCCGGGCAGGTGGAGCTGAACCTGTGCGGCCGGTCGCTGCGGCTGCTGCGCGACCGTCCTCTGCCCACTCTGTCTCCTCCCGAAGGGAAAGCGGAGCCAGGGCTGCGTGGACGCGCCCCTCCCGGTTCCCGGGCCTCTCCCGGGCAGTTAGTTTTTTTTAAAGTGTTTCTCCGAGGCTGGACAGCTGCGGTTGCAGGCCCGGGGCAGCGATTGCCACAGTAGTGAAACTTGCTGTGCGCTCGGGCGGCCCCAGGAGGACCGCGGCGGACCCCGCGCCGGCAGCCCCGCCCCGTCGCCGCTGCCCGCCCCCCGCCTCCCGCCTCCGACCCCGCGGGGCGGTGACTCACCCGGCGCCGCCCGGCCGGTTCTTAAGCCGCGCGCCGAGGGCTGCCGGGCGCGCTAAGGGCTTGTCTCTGACTCCAGGTCGCGAGAACTTTGTCTGCTGCTGCACAGCGGAGTTTCCGGGGGATTGAGTGAGCCCAGCAGAAACCGAAAATGCCGAAACCAGTAAGTTGCCCTGGTTCTGGGCCGGGTCACGTGCGCCAGGCTCCCCCTCCGTCGGGAGTCACCTGCTTGAGTGGATGGGGACAAGAACCGGGCGCTGACGGCCTGTCCCCTGACCATTTGTTGATCCTTTTGCGGGACGCCAGAAAGACACTATTGTGCTCTTCTCTCGCTAGGCCTTTTCTCCGTGAGTCCCCTTCCCCGAAGTTGTGGTCATTCTTGAAAATGAGGCGGAGGCCCCCTTTACCTTGTTTCTGTTTTTTTTTTTTTTAAAGTGCCTGCTAGTGCAACTTTGAAGTTTCTTAAAAAGTGCAAATCGCACTCTGGTGGTTTTCAACTACCTACACCTGCTGGTCCATTTCCTTCAACGGTCCGAAACCACATGCAGCCCGCACTTTCCCGGGGCGATTTGAAGGGCATTTGGGAGAGAAGACACCCTCTCTGCAGCAGGCAGCCTCCATACAGTCCGATTCCCACCGGGTCCGGGAGGCGCTGGCCTGTAAACCTGGGAATTTGCTGGTTACAGCAGGATTCCTATCTCTGAAAGGGTTTAGCGATGGACTTGAATTGCAGATGAAGCCGCCCTGGAGCTTGATAAGGACGCTCCCTGGGCTTTGGTCGTGTACTGCTGGTGAAGTCAGCTGATTCAAGTGCTGTGTTCCTGCCCCCCGTCCACGAGTATGATTTGATTGTGTTGAGATTGCTGACCAGGCCTGGGTGGTTGTAGGAACAGGTTCTTAGTGCTATTGCTTAGAAAGTTGTATATATTTCAGCGGGTGACACACACCTGTAACACCAACTGTTCCCAGGCTGAGGCAGGAGAATTGCGAGTTCCAAGCCCGTCTGGATAACTTAGTGAGACCCTTGTCTCAAATAAAAAATAAAAAGGTCTGGAGATGTAGCTTAGTGGTAAAGCGCCCCTTTACCACTGGTCAATCCTCAGTACTGGAAACAAACAAAAACTTGTGTATATTCCACCATTTTAACACTGGTGAGCTGGGTGACTTGGCACTAGCAAGAGGGTTTTACCTTTTTTTTGAGATTTGAGTCATGGAGAAAATATCGGGTCATTAACATTTATAATTAATGATACATAAAAATTTATTTCTAGTTTTTCAAATAATGTGATTCTTTAACCAATACTTTTGTGCCTTTCCTACTGTTAAGTTTTATGTTCCCTGAAAGGAATTCTTGATAAGAAGACTTATTTTACTATTAGGTTAAAAAAATTACTAATAGATTCAGACACCATAGACTTTTGATGTGAGTCATATTATTAAGATGACTGGTTCATGAGGCAGATGTTTTTTTTCCTATACAAAATTCTTCCTTTCATTTCAAAAGTGACACATAGCAGCCAAGCTCTACAGTGCCTGTGGTCTACCTCTGGCCTGATTGTAGCTCCTTAACCAGGACTGCAGAGTGTAGCAAGCTTGGGGATTTGGGCGGCGACGGGGGTCAAGAAATGAGCTTCTGGTGTGGTTTTCTGCTGAGTGCTAAGATAGTGCCCAGAAAAAACAGTGTTTCTGGTCACTACTTTTCTTTTTCTTTTCATAATTTGTAATTTCTTTTAGTCTTTTTCTGTTTTTTTTTTTTTAACTTCTTTTAATTGTGGTGAAATGTATGTAACACTTAATTTGTCGTTGTAACCATTTTTAAGTGTGCAACTCACTGGCATTACGTGTTCCTGTTGTTAAGCAGCCATCACCTGAACATCATCACCCCACAGTGACCCCCAGTACCCATTAAGCACTCGCGCCCCATTTCCTCAGCCCCCAGCCTCTGGCCACTACCATTCTAGTTTGCCTCTGTGAATTCAGCTACTCTGGGGACCTTGGTGTGGGTGCCTTTCAGTATGTGTCCTTCTGTGCCTGTTTCATTTCCCTCCACATGAATGGCCTCTTCAGGGCTCACCTGCTTTGCAGGTATGTCAGAATTCCCAGCCTTTTTGTCTTACAGCAGGTGTGTTTGAACTTCATTTTGATTTAAAGTCTTGGTGATGCCTAAGAATTTAAAAATTGTGTCTGACACAGGGAAGATGGTTGTAAAACTGCAAAGGAAGGCGAGTAGCCATCACCCTGTGTGTGTGTGTGTGTGTGTGTGCGAGTGAGCCTCAGTACCAGAGGAACTTTTTGAAAGGCTGTGTTTTATGTAATATATTCAGTTACTATTTTTGAATCTTATTGAGAGGTCTCCTTTTAGGTGAGCCAGACTTGTCTGCTGTGGAAATCCCTGCCTGTTCCTCCTTGGGCAGGAGAGAGTGTTACCATCTACAAATTATGTTAGGACCACCCTGTCTGTCATTGAGAAGGGCACAGTAGCCATCTCTAAGGTAGTTATGGAGAATCTAGTTTGATAGTTTTAAGTTTTGGGGGCTCTTCTGTTGGTTGTATTTTTGGATTTGATAAATGGTGAAGGTACGTTCTTCAGTGAGCTTCATCTTTTAAACAAAGGGCTATTGATTCTAATTATTCAGTCCCAAGTTAAGAATTTCACTTAGGTAGCTTTCATGGGATTGAATGTTTAATAATAGGATTAAGAGTCAATTACACTTAATGTATACATCTGAATAGTTGGGGTTTGGGGCTTCCACCCACCTGGTGATTGATTTACCTGCACTGAGAGGATGACTTTGTACATAAAACAGTATAAATGAAATAATACTCATTTACTGTACCTTAATACTGCTTCTGAAAGCACCACTTATTGAGGGGGTTGAGTGTTTATGTGTTTGGCCAGCAGGGTGCCCTACAAGAGGTGATGAGGATTCTGTCCTGGGGGGGGGGGGCACTGTCTGGAACCTGAACCAAGACACAGGCACACACTGAAGCGGAAAGTAGGGAACTCTAAGCTTTCTCAGGGGAAAGGAGCCTTAGTGGAGTGTGACAGGACAGACATCTGGTGGGGACAAGGGCGAGCCCTGGAGAAGCCCATTTCAGGGGAGGAGGGCTGTGGCCTGTCTGGTCTTGCTTTCCTCCGCTGCTTTGGGGCAGTATTCCGTGGGACTGGTGGACTTCCAAGGAGGGCACTCTGGTGCTCTGGCCTCCTTGGAGGACGGGGGTGGGGGGGGATTGACATGCAGGGAATGGTTCAGGAGGCAGTCCTTGTGCCACCTTCCAGGCCAGGTGACCCACAGAGTTTCTCCTCCTTCCTCTTTCTCACTCCCTGGCTTGCTTTTCTCATCTGATGGGAAAGCTTGGAGGTGAAATGCCTCAGGCACCAGGAGGTGTCTGAACTGTGTGGGCTGAAGGGTGTTAGAGGAGTTTAACATAAAGGGAGGTTTACCCTCCTTCAGAGAACTCTGAACATGGGTTCAAAGTCTGCCTGTGGCAGAGCTTGAGGAGAGTTTGTGAGATAACCCAGCTCTTTGAGAATAGTGCTTTCCACTAAGTATTTCAACAGGGACAGGATTTCCTGGATAATGGTTTTACTCCCCGCCCCCTGCCACCCTTCACCGAAGACACAGAGGACCCCTCTCCACCCCTCCTCCTTCACCATGGGCAGATGGTGAATGAGGTAGCTAAGATTTTGGCAGGTGGTGGTGAGAAATGCTGGCTGGGGTTGCTGGTTTGCCATCCTCACACCGTAAGGCATGATGAATATTTAGATTTCATCCGCTAGTTCAGCAGAGAGGCACTGAGGCTCCCAGGTGGCAGACACAGAAGTGGCCCTGTCATCATGGGTTTACCTTCTGGTTTGGGGACAGAGTAGTCATAGTAAATGCAGAGCCTCTGGTCTGGCTGTTGTGCCTGAGGTGTGTGCTGGTTGGGGGAGGTGAGACAGGTCAGAAAGGCGGCCCTGGAGGTGAGGGGCTTGCTGAACTAGGTGAGGACTGAAGGGGTTTGAATAGGGTGGGGAGGGGTCAGGGTGGGACTCCACCACTTGGATCTCGCCAAGTAGAGGACACTCTAGTTGGGTGCTAGGCAAAGCCTCCCGTGGCCAGAGAGGAAATCAGAGGTCAGGCCATATCTTACAAGCCATGTTCAAGCTTTTTTTGGTTTTGACCTTCTAGAAGGAGGTGACATGAACAGATTGGCCTTTGAAAAATTGACTAGAGGCTATAATGTAAGAGTCTGCAAGAGGTGGCAGGTAATGATTGGGTCTGGGGTGGTGGAACTGGAGAGAAGTGGATGTCCTGGGGGGCTCTTTGGGAGGTAAAACTCAGAGCACTTGGTGTGGGTTGAAGGTGCAGGGTGTGTCCACTGCCTCCTGGTTTCTGGCTTGCAGAACTGAGTGAATGATGGGCCCATCACTGAGATAAGGAACCATGGAGGAGGACCAGCTGTGAGGAGGGTCAGAGTCTGTTTTTGCACATGCTGTTAGGTCGTGTCTGTGGTGGGTGAAAGAAGTTCTTGCCTTCTTCAAATTTCAGCTTCACCTCCATGGTGCCAAAGAGAAAGAGAACCTAGACAGTGCCCACAATCCCACTCCTCATTCCTGTTTCTCTCCTGTTCCTCCCACAGTGGGCGCTTTTGTTACTGCCCTAAATGATAGCATTGAGATTTCTAACAAAATTTTGAATAATTTTGTAAGAACAAAATTATTTGTTAAGGGGCTGAAGTTGTAGCTCAGGGGTAGAGTGCTTGCCTGGCATGTGTGAGGCACTGGGTTCAATTCTCAGCACCATGTTTAAGTAAATGATTAAAAGGTCCATCAACAACTTAACAAATATTAAGTTTTGTTTTGTTTTGTTTTTTTAAGTTTGGGAAAAGAACACAGAATCACTTAGTGGATCATAGCTCTTTTTTGTAGTTTTTTTTACTTAGACTTAAACTTGATGTATGTTGGATAGTTAGGAGATTCATTAGGTGATTCACATGCCTGTTCTCTTTTAGTACCTGGATGTTTTCACTCTGAAGAAATAAAACCACAGTCAACTTTAAAAAGCAGGAACACACCTTGAATTAGCCTTTATATTTTATTTTGTTTCAGTAATAAACTCCTCAGCCTATTTGCATTATAACACCTCAGCTACTCTAGTTTTTAATTTAAGCACTAAATGTATTTGCTACCACTAATAAAATATGCAATATTTAATGAAGAGACCAGAAGGTTGCATTACTTCCCTCCCAACATACTTATCATCCATATCTGTCAACATAAGGGATAAAGATGGATTCCAAACTTTTTCTTAAGAAACCAAACAAAACCATTATGCAATAGTGTGACTTAGAAACTTTCTAAATGCTTAGTATGCAGTTAATAGACATTACTTTTTCAAATAAAATTAAAATGTAAAGAACCACAAAAGAATAATTTCATAATTTACTACTTAACCCGCACTTGGACAGGTCATTCAGTATTCGTGAACCTCTGTTTCTTTTGTTTGTTTGTTTTGGTATTGGGGATCGAACCCAGGGATGCTTAGCCACTAAGCTGCATCCAGTCCTATTTTTTATATTTTATTAGAGACAGGGTCTCACTGAGTTGCTAAGTGGCTGAGATTGACTTTGAACTCTCACAATCCTCCTGCCTCAGCCTCCCAAGCCTCTGGGATTACAGACGTGCGCCACCACGCCCAGCTGAGCTTCTGTTTTGTAGTCTTTAAAATGAGAGTAAAGACAGTGTTTAAGTGAAGAGGGTATCAACGTGAAACTCACCTTTGTCTATGAAACCTAAACACTTTATATCCCCGGAGCTTCGTGTGTCCTGGGTGCTTTCTCCCTGGCTATATTTTACACACTTCAATGCAACCCATTGGTTAAAAGTTGGGAGTGCCAGTGAGCCAGGTGAAGTTTGTCCATGCTTCCCAAAGAAACAGCCACAGACGTGTAGTGAGAGGGGGAGTCTCTGACTGTTCTTCCTTTTGCTATATCCCAGATGTCAGAATTCTTTGGGCTCCTTCCTCCTGTGTTGGAGCCCTGACATAGGCCATCGTGTGCCTGGTGCTAGACAGTGAAAATCAGATGGGCTTTGCTTTTAAGGAGTTCTCAGTCTAGTGGGGGAGGCGAGGGTGCAAGCAGGGAACCACAGTGCATTGCACCAGGAGAGGGATGTACCAGGCAGGTGGAGCCAGGCCAGGCTGCAGGTCCTTGGGGTCTGGGGGATGCAGGGGCAGAGGGTCAAGGGTATTTCTGATAGCAGAGGGCATTCCATTTTCCATTATTCACTAAGATAAATAATGATGCTGTTTCACGTGAAATAGAAACACTTCACTGACACAGTTATCCCTTTAATATATATAAGAAAACAAACCTTAAAGGCAATTAAAATTAAAAATTTCTGACCTTGACCCAACTGTTACCAATGAGCGAGAGGAACTGATGTCACCGGCGGGTCAGACTACACTGGTCAGCACAGGCGTATCAGATTCTGCTTATCTTTTTGTTGTTTGAAGTCGCTTTCCACATCCTAATTTTGTTTTCCATCTTCACTAGACAGATCAGCTTACCATTGCTGTGTCAATGGCTGTCGTATCAGATCATGTAAATAATTGTTTTCATTTAAGGATGGAGCACAGCGATTATCTGCAGGCAGGCACTAACTGTGGCCAGTTTTTGTGAGGTCTACCAGCAAAAGATGGTTGCTGCATTTTTGCAGGGTTCTTTTAGAAACAACAACATTATGCAGTAGTCACCAAATAAGGCCCTCAAAGCCTAAAACATTTACTCTCTGATCCTTTACAAAAAAAAAAAAAAAAAAAAAAATTTTTTTTTTTTTTTTTTTTTAGCAACCCTGCTTCTAGGATAAAGGCAGTTATTGTGAAGACCTTGTTATAAACTTGTGTGTATTGTATGGCGAGGCTAATATTTGGAAACGGAGCCACCTCATTGGTTGCAGTTTTAAAAAAACTGTTCTCAAAGAACAAAGAACCAGTTAGCCAGTACAAGTGCATCAAGCCCGAGCATGGATGTCTGTTGTAAAAACTGTCACCTAGGACCAAGGTTGGCTGGTGCTGAGGTCATATTTTAAACAAGGCTGTTGATGGTGGCTGTTCTTTGTTCTATAGAGAAGGTGGCAGTATCTTGTGTCACACCTGCTCCCCCAGCATCTAATGACAGACTTCTGGCATAAGCTAAAAGAAAGCAATTTGTACCTGATATTTGAGTTGGAAAGAGAATGCTGTATAAATGAATTGCTTTTATATCGTCATTTAAAATTAACTTTCGACTTAGGCTAGTCTTATGCTAGTGAATTTCTGACTATGGACAGTTTTATCATTCAGTCCCAAGTTTAGACCACCCCATCAAATCCAGCCGTGCTGCGCCCACCCCTTGCCCCACCGTGCTGTGCTTCACAGAACTTATCTTTGCGTTCAGTGCTTGTTTTTTTTTGGGGGGGGGGTCTTGGCTTTCCTGGCTACAAAGCGAGCAGCAGTTAAAAAAATTTAAAAAGGCATCATTGTCTGCATCTAGAAGGAACTTCAAATTCTTGCTCTATTGGCAGGTAAATTGGGGTGGACCACTGGGTGAATGCGCTGCCTCCTGGTGGGTAGTCTGGGGCAGGCTTCTTCAGCTGCCTCTCCCCGTGCCTGTCCACCAGGGCCTGTGAGCCCACCCATGAGGGCTGAGGGGCTGCCTCCAGAGCACCTGGCCTGGCGCCTGGCCCTGATCGGAAGGGCCTGTGTTCTGCTTGCAGCTGCTGAGTTCTAATCTGATTAAAAGCTTTACCGTCTCATGATGGTCATTCTTTCCCCTCCAACTCTGCCTCATGAAACGGTACAGTCAGTGGACTTTACCTCACTGTCGGTCCTTCTCTCCCACCATAAACGCCGTCCACACCCCTCCCACATACAGAGCACTCCTGTGCCAGGGTTTACTTCCTGGTGAACTAAAAGAGCCTTTTGAAGGATTACCTCCCCTTCCCCTCAGTCACATCAAATGATGGCCCGGCGAGTGTCCATCCAAAATGCATGCCAGTCTCAAATGCCCATTGCCCCACTCTCTCAGTGGCCAGAGGCCCAGGAAGGTAGACCCAGGTCTAAGTACAACAGCCTTTGTGCCCAGAGTCTAAAGGGAGCAGCATTGTCCTCGGCCCCTCCCCAGGCTGCTTTGAGAAGCTCACGTTGTCACAGGAGAGGCAAATATCAATAATGCCCCGGAGAGGAAGAACCTACTGCGGGTTCTCATCCAGGCTTTGCCAAGAGGCGGAGTTGTTTTTATTCTTTTACTAACTCAGTTGGGCAAAGTGACCTGTGAGTGGGCAGATGTGATCATTTTGGTTTTGGTAAATCACCTTTGTGTTGACCCACGAGCCAGGATGACCTTTCTCCAAACACTTGTTTCGGGTGGATTTGGTCAGAGCGTGTTGCCATCTGCTGGGCCCCATTGAATTCTTCCACCATTTCTTGGGTGCGCGCTTTCAGGAGAACTGATTGTTGCGGTAGTATTTCGCCTATTGCCGCATCTGTAAGTTCTTGTGCGATGTGTTTTGGAAGACGATCCATCCTCACCCCGTGTTCTTAGAGAACCCTGAACCACAGATCGCTGGTGAGAGCTTAGAGAGTAGATATCATGTTGGAATCTGCCTCCGAGGACTTTGTTACTGTGTCGGTATGGTGTTCTCATTAGGGTGCTGCGTTGCCTTAGTTACCAAATGAAGGGTGTCGCATCTGGTGCTGAGGTGGTGGCCTACATAGCACATTGCCATTTGGGTGACACTCTTAAGTGGGCCTTAGACTAGGCGGTAGGGAGGCGAGAACCTGGCTGGACAGGCCCATGTGGTAATCATCCGAAAACAAGGTCAAAACGTGCAGTGTGGGACTTGAATAGGTCAACTGTAAAAAGATGATGTCTATCAAGCTGGGAATGGAGGCGCTCACCTGTCTTCCCAGCATCTTGGGAGGCTGTGGCAGGGGGATGGAAAGCTCAGGGCCAGCCTCAGCGACTTAGTGAGCGAGACCTTGTCTCAAAATAGAAAATAAATTTAAAAAGATATGGTGGTGCAATGGGGGAAAGTGAGTTGACTGAGTTTTAAAAATTAGGGAACTGGTTTTGGATTGTTGGATATGATAGTGGGATTATGGTTTTATATACATTCCCCCTTGCCAGCTGGGGATTGAACCCGGGGACTCTTGACAGTTGAGCTACATCCTCAGCTCTTTCTCATGTTTATTTTGAGATAGGGTCTCACTGATTTGCCCAGGCTGGCCTTGAACTCTCATCCTCTTGCCTCAGCCTCCTGAGTTGCTGTGATTACAGGTGTGTGTGACCACACCTGGTGGTTTTCAGGTACATTTTAAAGCCCTCTGGTGCTGCGTGATGACGTTTTAAAATATGCAAACAAACCAAAACATTGGTTCTCTTTCTTAAACTGTACAAAGAGTAAAGAGCAACACTGGAGAGTCAGTGTGCGGCCAGGAGGAAGCCTGTGGAGGCTTACTGTGTCGTGGGGTTCCCTCTGCTTTGGGGAGTGTTCCAGAACTCCCACATGGAGAGCTTGCTTTTTAAAGCCTATTACAGGGACAGAGGGGGTGGGAGACTTCGCTTTTGCTCCTCAGGAGAAGTGCCAGTCTTCTTCGGGTGGGAGGAGCCAGCAAGAGGGAGTCCCTGCTGCGAGGGGCTGAAGAGGCGCTGTGTGTGGGACACCCCTGTGCTGGACCACGGAGTAGCTGGAGTCCTCCCGAGGGCCATCTTACCCCCGTGCGGGTGTTAAAGGAGGTCTCCTCAGAACTCCAGTTGACGTGGAAGCAGGAGGAACCGTTGGTTCCCAGCTGTTCACTGGTATTCTGATTTCCAAGATTTTTAGGGGGTGAGAGAGGGAGATGCTTTGACCCAGCTGGGAACAGGACATTGTCTTTATAGCAACTGTCTCAGACTTGAACATTGGGATTGAACATAAAATGCAAGACATCTACTGACTGGGATCTTATGCAGTCCTTTTAAGATGCCACGTACCATCTGTGTTCTGTCAGGGTGGACGCCGTCCATCGGAGCAGGTGGGGGAGGCATTCCTCAGACCAGGAGCAGGGTTGGGGCTGGGGCAGGCGCTGAGAGTTGTGAACTGCACACCGTGTCCTCTTGCTCTCAAGTCAGGCAGTTACACACATGATCATAATCCCATCATGGATACAACATACAGCGCTATTGCCATGAAGT